TTAGAACAATAAACTTTTCACGTTATAACGTGATACACTTGCATTTTTCTTTTGCCTGGGTGGCAGCTCTACGCTTCCGTACAGAACACACCCATATAATATAATAATAATAATCATCATCATCATAGTCCGTACTGCTCACGGACCCCGAGTCCCTGGAACCGGGTCCGTGACAGTTGCTTTATAGAAGTACGACCGGGACGCCGGGATAGATTTTATTGTCAACCACGGATCACGGTTATCGGTCAAGTGTTTCGTGCCCACAATTTAGCATTTCGTGCGCACGTTATACCTATTTCGTGCCCACGAAATAGTATTTAGTATTACTATTATAGTATTTCGTGGGCACAAATAAGCATTTCGTGGGCACGCTATACTATTTCTTGCCCACGAAGTAGTATTTTGTGGCCACAATTTATTTATTTTTTGGACCATGTCATCAGAGGGGCTCCGTACATTTGAACTAAGTGGGCGATAATAAGTTTGCCTTCAGATCATGTTTAGAATAAGCTGCAGACAACAAAAGAGCTGCATTCACAGCTTCTGCAGGTCCCAGTGCACATGTGAAATTCAATCATCTGTGTCGCTATGTGGAACTGTTGACTGTTGAAACCTGTATTGGCTAAAGACCATTTATATAGAGCGTGAACTTAGCAGTGTCAGTCCCCTTAGAAAACTCTCTGCGAGAAAGTAGAGAAATATAGTTCCTTCTTCAGTCTTCAGTAATAAATGAACCTTTACTGTTTTCATTGTCTTTCTTTAGGATGGTTGATGTTGGTGGGCAGCGCTGTGAGAGGAAGAAATGGATCCACTGTTTTGAGAATGTCACCTCTATCATATTCCTTGCAGCCCTCAACGAGTACGATCAGGTCCTCTACGAGAGTGAAAACGATGTATGGTCATTATAGTTACCCCGTTTGATCTTTTCTTTAATTCTTGTCCAACCTTGTCCAAATACAAATCATTGTCTAAGCCTCTCGCCCCTCTTTCAGAATCGACTCAAGGAGAGCCTCGCCTTGTTTAAGACCATCACCTTGTATCAGTGGTTTCAAGAATCCTCCATCATCCTCTTTCTAAACAAAACAGACCTGCTAGAGGAGAAAATCCAGCATTCGCATTTAACTTCCTACTTTCCAGAATACACAGGTAAAGCATGCCCCCAGTTTGCTCTGCATGTCTTCAGAACAACCATAACTGTGTTCAAAACTATATTTGAGTATAACTGGCATGAAGTCAATCAGCCATGAAGTGAAGGCCAACTTTCACTTGCTCGTGTCATTAGATGATTTACTGCATCTGTAAGGTGTACACGATTGTAAATGAACATCGTGTCGTGTCCCCAACCCCTCAGCCCCAATCGGTAAAACAACCAGGCTCAGGGATAAGCAGATAGCTGACCCTCCCTGAGCCTGGTTCTGCCAGAGGTTTCTTCCTGTTAAAAGGGAGTTTTTCCTTCCTACTTTCACCAAGTGCTTACTCATAGGGGGTTTTCTGATTGTTGAGGTTTTCTCTATATTATTGTAGGGTCTTTACCTTACAATATCAAGTGACTGAGGTGAGTTTTATTCTGATTTATTTGTATAAAGTAAAATTGGATTCAATATTTATGTATTTAAACTGTTAGACTACAGAAGCAATGACAAACTGTGTTAATATTTTTTTTAAATTATTGTCTGTACATGAATTAATCAATCCAGCATACACCCTGTAAAATATTTGATAATTAAAGACATTAAAGATTTGTGAAGATGACAATTGATTGATTTGTGAAAGTCCACAATAGAGCACTACGCGTATTGTGACTGATGTTAATGATAAGCACAATTACTAAGAATGAGTTAGTTCTTAAGTCTCAACTAAGACACCCTGGAGAGTATAAAACTGTATTAAACAGTAACTGTGAAAGAGTGAGCAAGTCCGTGTTTTTCTCAGGAGGCTTTTCTAATTTTGACCACTTTCTCCCACACAGGGCCTCGACAGGATGCTGAAACAGCTAAAAAGTTCATCTTAAATATGTATGTGGAGCGGCATGTTGGTCGTCATAAAGCCCTTTACACGCACTACACCTGCGCTACAGACACGGAGAACATCAGGATTGTGTTCAAATCAGTCAAAGACACACTCCTCCAAGAAAACCTGGAACAGTTCAACCTCGAATGACAGAGGCTATTGGACCAAGTGATGGCTCACTGTGGAGAGCAAGAACACTGGTCGTAATCATGTTGTAACACTTTTAAAAAGACAAAAAAAAAAATCCTTAATGTGCTGTCAGCTGCTTGTTCAAAAACATCAAAGAGAGGCATTTAGGCAGCAGTGTCAGGTAAGGTGCATTTACTTCATGACTGTAACAGGGAGCAATTGTCTTTCTTTGAGACACCACTTTATCATAACTGGTAAAGTAAGCCCATTTCCTTCTGCTATAGGAGAAAAATGTTATCTTGAATTGTTACACAGGGTTCCTTTCATTCTGTTACTGTTTGATGGAGAATAAGCACACGGCATCAGATTCGTTTTACAAAGTCTGGCAGGAATGTGGCCCATCCTGCCTTACAGCTCCTCATCCTGTAAGGCAGGATGGGCCACATTGTAGCTCCTCACTGTGGGGGGAAACTACAATGACTTTAATTTGTTTTTTCATTATTGCATTTGGATACTTTTAACAAACGTTTTGCCTCTAAAATGATTAAAACCACAATCATGTAATATGTATTTCTATAAACTGATTCATGCTGCTTCCCCATTGTTGTCACTTTATAGAGAACGTTATTTTGACAAAAGTAATTAAAAATATATATAAAGAACAAAGTGTATGTTCAGAAATCTATGACTGATCTCACGCTATAGGACAGCAGCTGCTGACAGTGATTAACTAAAGGCAGTTTTCCCAGACACCTTCACGTCAGGCGTGGTTACACTGAGTGTGATTATAACCTTTGTACCAAACAATGGTCAACAATGAGGTCTGACAGGCTGATCTCCGTCTTCCTGTCTTAATTACTTGGGATTAAACTTTGGTAAGTAAAACAGGCTTTCAACAAGGTTTAGAGAAATGCGTGTTTGGGCATGGATATCTAGGAACCAGCTGATTTCACCTGTGTTGTGTTTTAAGGGTTGAACAGTTCAGAGCTAACGTAGAAGGAAACATTAGAAGTAGCCTAAAAATCAGTGGATTGTCAAGCATCAGCTGTTTGCTTCTGGTTGGACAATATTTTCAAGCATGTGGTGAATCCTATGAATATTATCTGCACACGGAGCTGGCAACGACAGCTCCTTTTGTCACCCTGAGGGCAAATGGCTCTCTGGGGCTCACAAATCAACTGTCAGACATTAAAAGCAGTCCCGCACTTGTCGTGAAGTAGTGCAGTAGTGTCGTGTCGCACTTGTCTTGTAGTAGTTCAGAAACCTCAGAGCGCACCCACTTCATAATCACAGGCAAATACACTCCTCCTATATGTATGTATAAGCTGGTGTGCAAAGAGCTGTTGCAGCAGGTGATCGCCCTTATTTGGTAGTGGCCCAGATCATGTGACCACAAAATGGTGGAAGCTGTGAGCTGTTTGTAAGCTGAGCATCTCCATCGAGAGGCTGGAAGCAGGAAGCAGGCAGGGAACTTGGAAGTACATTCATGCTCTGAGACGCAGGAGGACAGAGATTCCCGAGCCCCAGAAGCGGTGAGTAGATGGCTTTTATTTGGGGGAGGGGGGTGATAAAAAGAAGAGAAAGAAGGGATATGCTCTATTTTTTTTTTTCACAGCCAGCAGACAGGAAGCGAGGGAGAGGGAGGGGCTGCTGGCATCAGCACTGTGGTCTTACGCTGTGCTGGGGAAGTGGATCTTAAGCAAATCAGCATCCTCAGCGGAAGATATATGATGCTGGGTTTTGTTATTCTGCATTATAGGGCTGTGTATCAATGTGTATTTATTTCCTTGTGGGCACAGATACAGTAGACAAACAGTGAATCATCAGCATGGCACTCATCTCCACTGGACAGGAACAAACCATTCAGCATTTTTCTGTTGCTGCTGCTAATGCAATCGTATTTTTCTTAATCCAGATAAAATCCTGCCGATGAGGAACAAGGACTTTCCCTTTTCATGCGAAAGAGCGCACGTGACATTTGCATCCGTGCCCAATCTGTGCTCAGGCAAGCGTGCCGTCATTTGATTTGAATGAGCACTAGGAGGGAGAAAAAGGAGAGGAATGAGGTTGTGATGTAACGAGCGTCGCTGTTTCCCCGACTCCACCTTCCACTTGTCACCCTGCCTCCTCCACTTTAATCACAGAGGGAGAAGACCTTTAACCTCAGAATCCCCCCACCCCATCCCTTGCTCTACTTTCTCCCTCTCCCGTCTCACCACTTCTCATAAACCCCCCTCTCCATTCCCTGATAGCTTTGGAGAACTATTGATCAGAAAAGTGTAATCAATACACTTTTTTAGATATGAAGGTGTTAGTACACTTATAGATGCACTTGGATTGTTTTTTCTTTTTTTCTTACGCTCGCACTGATATTGATAAAGCCAAACTGTAATTTTTCACTCTATAAAACAGCGTTGATATAGATCCCAGAGATAAGATTTTTTGTTGTGTCCTCTGGCTGACAAACATAGATAAAGACACAATATTGATCAAAAATGTTGTTGGTTAAATTATAGCACTCAAATCAAATTGGATTTTCTGCTCTGCAGCACTATATTGAAAAGTGCTTGGGGATTTCTGAGATGTAACAGGAATGCTTCCATTAAAATGGATTTTTCTCAATCCACATCAGATTCATATGTAAAAACATATATATTAATATTTACTTAAGCGAGTAATACTGGACCATATGTTTAAATTCTATTATAATGAAAACATTTTATTAATATACCTCTTGAGGAGACGTGGGGGAGTATTATCAGCAAAAACTAACTTTGCTGGCTCAGAATGAGCCTTTCTGGGGTTCAGTCCAAGTACAGTAAAGGCACTGAGTCTGCATTATAAGATTTGGCAGAAATCAGTGTGTTTTCCTGTTATTTCTGACTATCCCACCCCCTCAGCACCCCAAAATACTTTTATTCTTTAGTAAATTTACCCCAATTAACTTGAAAAAAAAAAGCTTAATTTGGATCTGGATAAAAACCTCGTGAGAGGCTGCCAGAAATCGTCTTTTCAGGAAAAACGCTTGCAAAATAGTTTGATCTGATTAAACGTCAAAAGTAAGTACGCTGTTGCAATTTATACTGAATTATAGAAGAATTATAATATTGGAATTGTATTATTGATGTGTTAATGTGTGCAGCATCCTTGGCTGAATGCTGGACTCTTGATGCTTCAAAGAAACATTATTAAAGATGTAGTTCACTCAGATTTTCAGGGAAGACATCGTAAGAGCTAGGAAGAAAAAAACAAAATATTGACACCCTAAACTTGATAAACTGCACAACATCGCATTTGAGCTTTATCTCACATATCTGATGGATGTCTCATTTTGCATCTAAACTTCTATATAACACATCAAAACGAGGCTACAAATCCTTTCACTGATTCACTATATTAGATTGATAGCTTATAGCTACATTTATCAAACGACATTATGGTTAGACATAACTTATTACATGAAAAGAAATATGGTCAAACCTTGTGTCACTGTCAGCCAGGTACTTTTTAACACAGGAAACGCTCATTTTCTCTCTGCTTAAACCACACTTCAACTCTGTCGTTAATCACGCTTTCTTACTGAACCTCTTTCCTGTTTTATCGTTCTTTCAAAATAAAAGCGTAGGCTTCAAAACAAAACTACCAGGTTAACCAACAGATTGAACTTAAAAAAATATTTATGAAACAAATATATGTAAAAATACTGCTCAAAAATGTCCGATCATCTAAAGGTAATTTGCGATGTGTAAGTAGCACTTTGCTGTTGTTACTGTTGGTACTAACTGTTGATCCAATGTGAACAATTTTATCAGGTTAAAATAATCCATTGCATTTTATCATATCGACTCTCTGGTAACATTAGTGGTTAAACATTGCTAGCACCGGGTTGGATTCTTTTTGCCTTCAGAACTGCCGAAATCCTCCACAGATTCAAAAAAGTGATTTTACTACATGTTGAAACATGTTGAAATCTAAAAGTTGTTGAAGATTTGTTAGCTGCACATCCATGCTGTGAATCCCCTGTTCCACCAAATGTGGATAGAGATCTGCTGACTGTGGAGGCCATTTGAGTACAGTGAATTCACTGTTACGTTCAGGAAATGAGTTTGAGATTATTATAATTTTGTGAGATGGTATGTTGTCCTGCTGGTACCCGTCATTAGAAGACGAGCACACCATGTCACTTAAATCATTTTTCTTTCCTAATCTGATGCTTGGTTAGGGGGTTACTGAGTGTATTTTGCATATGTTATGCAACCAAAGCTGTCAATGTGGTGTAAAATTAAGTTTAAATTTAAAAAAAAAAATTTCACCCTGAACTTTAGTGGATTAGACGTATAACAGAGCATGAAATGAAAAAACTCAACTTTCCACTCACTGGTAGCTTTTAAATTTGCCATTTATCTCAACATTACCAAGACTTTAACAACCAGTCTATCTAACTCAGTCATTACATAAAGAGGTATCACAGGCGGCAGATAGCACACACAGTAGTCTGGGTGCTCTCCAGGTGTGTTTTTCTATCATAAGAGTTCATTTAATAACTGTAATTATCTTCTTGCAGGTCCTCCTGGGGATGGACCTGGCATCAGAGAGTAAAATGAACTCTGAGGGGGGTGATGGCAGACCAGGTGAGCGCGAAGCAACAAATACCCTTAATAGCTAAAAGAACACTGTGGCATTGCATAACTTTTTCTGTTTTTCTTTTCTTAGTCCCTCCTACCTCTCTACCTCTGCAAGGAGGAGCCTCACAGAGAAAAAAACTATCTGCACCTCGTATCAGCCTGTCACTGGACCAGAGCGAGGATGACTTCGGAGAGACACCAGATGATCTAGACATTAATGTCGATGACCTCGACACTCCAGATGAGGGGGATTACCTCGACTACACAGACCATGAAATGGACTGGGAAGGTGGGTGACTCTGAATGCTAGAATGCTAACACTGTGAGTTTGATGACCTGAAAGATCGCGATGAAGGTGGGGCACGCAGAATTACAAAGTGATACAAGCATTTTATTCTCCTCCTTCTGCTCAACAAGAGCAAGACTTTTATTTTGTAACACTAACAGCTAATGTTAATATGCTTCATTACTTTACCAAGAATTTAATTGATGTGTTAAAGTGGAAAACCACGGTTACTGATCTATTGATCTTTTTAAAATTAGTCTACAAATTACCCACAATGCATCATTTGGTCTTTTTCTTATCAGATCCCAATACTGCCAACAGGAGTGCTACCAGTGAAGTCTACAATACAATCCCAACATACAGTGCTGAGGAGGAACGCCAAGATGGAAAACTGTGGAGGACTGTCATCATTGGGGAGCAGGAACACCGTATCAACATGAAGCTCATTGAGCCCTACATGAAAGTCATCTCACATGGAGGTGACTCAAGTTTAAAATCAATTCACAAGTGTAGTTTTTCTTTTGCAAAGTAGTTACCACATTTACAGTAAAGTATAGTAAAGGTGTTAACATTAGGGTCCATCAAATGGTGCACTCTCCCCTAAACCCCAACCACTAGAACTGAATACCAGTCCAAGCCATTCAGGTAAAAGACGTTGCTTTTTATAGCAAAG